GACGTCCAATGTAATCCCACAGATGTTCAATTGGGTTCAAGTCCAGGGATTGGCTTGACCACTTGATTACATTAATATCTTGTTCTGCAGGAAACGTCTTAACCAACTTGGAAGAATGTTTAGGGTCGTTATCGTGTTGAAATAACCACCCTGATGACATTTTTTCATTAGCAAATGACAGCATATGATTTTGTAAGATATCACGATACACAATTCTATCTATGGTTTATTTTATTTGTACTAATGGACCAGTTACACGAGAAACAACCCCGCACCATTACATTGCCGCCACCAAGTTTTACCGTCGGTTTTAGGTATTTAACATGAAATCGTTCTCCAGTAGGGCATCGCTGCTCTATTTTTCTTCGACACAAGTGGTTTCTTGCATGCTTTCCGTGAAAATAGATTATTTTCATCTAAACGACGATCAATTGTCCTGTTACTAATATTTTCCAGACACAGTTGATTTTTAATTTCAGAAGCAGTGTAAAATGGATTCGACTTAGAAAGTCTTGCAATTCGACGATCTAGTTTTTCATCTGTTTTTCGCGGTCTGCCATTTCGTGATGACGTTTTAACAGTTCCATATTTATCAAATCGTTTTATAAATTTGGTGATAAGTCATTGATGTATGGGATGCTATCTCATTATGCTATTTTTAGTTCCAACCTATGTATCTTAAAAGATAGAGAATATACCGAAATGTATCAAACGATTACGTTGTTCCTTAACTTTTGTCAGCAAGTGTATGTAAGAGTANACCATTACATTGCCGCCACCAAGTTTTACCGTCGGTTTTAGGTATTTAACATGAAATCGTTCTCCAGTAGGGCATCGCTGCTCTATTTTTCTTCGACACAAGTGGTTTCTTGCATGCTTTCCGTGAAAATAGATTATTTTCATCTAAACGACGATCAATTGTCCTGTTACTAATATTTTCCAGACACAGTTGATTTTTAATTTCAGAAGCAGTGTAAAATGGATTCGACTTAGAAAGTCTTGCAATTCGACGATCTAGTTTTTCATCTGTTTTTCGCGGTCTGCCATTTCGTGATGACGTTTTAACAGTTCCATATTTATCAAATCGTTTTATAAATTTGGTGATAAGTCATTGATGTATGGGATGCTATCTCATTATGCTATTTTTAGTTCCAACCTATGTATCTTAAAAGATAGAGAATATACCGAAATGTATCAAACGATTACGTTGTTCCTTAACTTTTGTCAGCAAGTGTATGTAAGAGTAAAATACGATTGTTATTGACTATTTCCATTCTTGGTTTTCTTCAACAGTGAGTGTAAAGACACCCTCGAGAAACGATAGCAGGATGGGAGAGCTGAATTTCCAAAGGAGGAGATACTTCTTAAAAGAGGTCACTTGCTAAATTGCTATATTATTACACTGGAACATGCCAGGCAAAATAAAATTCTAATACCTTCTCGCATATCATGTTCTTCTGCACCTTCTTTCTAATTATTTTCTCCTTACCTATGTATGTAAGAGTAAAATACGAGTATTATTTACTATTTCCATTCCTGGTTTCCTTTAATAGTGAGTTTAAAGATACCCTCGAGAGACAATAGCAGGATGCGAGAGCTCCGGTACCAACGGAGGGGTTACATATGAAAAGCGGTCACTTGTCATGTTGCTTTATTTTGACACAAGTACAGGCCAGGCAAAATGAAATTCTAATACTTTCTCGCATATCATGTTTTTCTGCACTTTCTGTCTAATTATTTTCTCCTTACCTATGTATGTAGAGTAAAATACGATTAATTATTATTAAAATGAATACTTCAACCTTTGCTATCAGTAGGGATGGTGATGAATCCTGAAGAAATTTGCAGGAATAACTCCAGAAGGCTTAATGCCTCCTGTGTCTTTCCTGGATTTTCTTTTATCTGGTATTCGGGTCTCTCTTCGGGTCTCCTTGACCCGAGGGTCTCTTGAAAACCACCCTTTCCCCCACGCCGTCACTGCGCGGATGTCATAACGCTGCTTAAACCTCCAGAACCATCCGCGACTTGCCTGAAATTAAGAATCACGGTTATGGATTAAAATATCTTCATATCTGCATGAGAAATTATCGAGTATCTATTATACATATGTACAGTTCTATATACCTGAAACGCGATACGTCTGATCTGGTGACTATTTTCTTAGCCTGCTCTTGCAGGATCTTGTCAGAAATGGGAACTCCTAAAAGTCTCGTCTGCAGAAACCAATCATAAATTTTATTATTTACACTATTATTCACAATATATTATTTGTTTTTATGCTCGTTTACACAGGTGTCCAAGCTATTCATGCCAATGCGCTTTATTCGGTTCACCGTACTTTTAGTGATCCCGTACGTATTAGCAAGCGCTTCCACGTATATGCCGCATTCCAACTGGAAAATAATTATTTATTAATATAAACGATAACTAAATGTACAGGGTACTTCAGCCCTGTGTGCATAAACTTGTCTAGTAAAATATAACTAACCTTTCGGAGGACCTGCTGCTCCATGTTCAAAACCGTTAGGTTTTTTTCTGTTAGCCATCGTTGTTTTGTAATTTTCTTAAATTTTCTGAGATGTTCGTTTCCCGGTGGTTTGCACGGAAAAGACGTAATGTCGGCTTTTACGCCCCTCCGTTCTGGGGTTCGCACTTCGCGCTGGACTTTCACGCCCACGTGAAATCCTAACACCGCCCCCATCCTGCGCAGAACGTTATTGTAAATTTCGTGGCCCGTGCCTCGGATATCTAGCGCCTTTGCGACGATTTGAAAAATTTATTGACAAATTGTTATAAGTTTTGAGCCATTAGAGATATTGAAATGAAATCTTCACTACAAATAATTAAAAAAATTCTATTTTTTAGCTACCGATAGCACTGTCGGAGACGATTTCTGATTTACTGTAGTCACTATGAAATTCTTGTAGAGTTTCATTCCTTGATCAAAAATCAGAAAATCGGATCTCTCTCAGTTTTCGAATAAAACCAAACTTTTGTAAAAACCCAAAATTTTCGACGAAATTGAGGTTATAATATTCTGCAAAAGACACCCAAACTGAGTAATGTGCATCAATGCATTGACTCGGTCTAATTGGTGACTCCTCTTGCAATAACTTTTGCATTTCCGTGCAACGAAGCAACGTTAATAATTTTGTTTCATTTCTAATTCTTGAGCATGTTTGAGAGGACCCAAATTAACAACACCACAGTGATTCACTGATTTGTAAGAGGGAGACGATTTTGAAGTAATATTTAAGAAAACAAATTCTAAGCACCTAAGTATGATACCAGGAGACGTAATACTCCCTTGTAGAGTAAATGATTTCCCTGAACTTGTTGTGCCTATAAAAGTTATAATACTTGTGTAATAATCAATAATAGAAGTAATCAAGATGTTGGTTTCATTTCTTGAAATATAAACNTACTTCATCTTGTAGATTTAGATCATAAGATGGATTAATGGGATCTAATGTATCATTCATCTATAATAATTAAAAAGATGTTAGTTATGTTCAGTATCATATTAATCTATAATACTACAAAACATACTTTGTTAAGACTTAATGCGGTTAGTGATTAGTATTATAATTGGAATAATTCATTATAAATTAAAAATTAAATTTATAATTATTAATTTGTTATTAACTGACGCTAGTATTTTATTGATCATTGAATAAAAATAAATTAATTGTTTAAACATCAATTGAATGAACAATTAACTACTATAAGTCTCTTCAATCTCCTGATCGATTAAATTCACGATTTTCGACGATTAATTTCTTTAATCAATTAATGTTCAAAAGTAGTGCAAAAATAATTTATAATTTGTTTCTAAGCAGGAGCTGCAATGCTGTTATCGAGGCAAATTTACTTTTACTTTGGTAATAATTTCGTTGCTTTATGAATATTGCTGTTGTTACGCCGCACAAACGATTCGGTCAAGAGTGTCGATTCCGACTGAAAGCATCTATGGACGAAATTACTGTACATGGAAACAACATCTGAACGCATTTAAATGCATCGATCCGAAACGTTTTATAGATGAAATAACATCTGTGTATCCGGATTGAGAATTATGGCCACAGAAACCCGACCTTTCTCAATTAGGAGAAAGCTAAATATTCATGGATCATGTCATTGTGCCTAATGCACTTCTATATGTTTCATCGCTTCCTCAAACGGAAGGGCCATTTTGTAAAAAATCAATATTTACTTGAAATCTAGAAAAGAAATTGTGACTTTGTGATGAGATGAAATTTTCTATACCAATATTAATACAATTTTGTATACCCTTTAAAATAATCCTTTTACTTGAAATTTTCGTGTATTCAAAATTCAAATTTTGAATCATAACGCTTCTTTATGTCGGAAGACAATTCTGTATCAAAAAAAGCTAATGTTGCAAATTCTGCAATTAAATACCATAAATGTTCACTTATGCTTTTGTCAAGCTGTTGCAAAAGTTACAGATTTTGGTTTGGAACATTTGTAGAGCAGTGTAGCACATGACGGCAAAACGTCGTGCACGCGTTGTTGTCGAATATTTTCTCGGCCCACTCGAAATATATGTATATCGTTCCGACACTCCTATAGGGCAGATTCTTCTTCAAAAAACAATTAATAAATTATATGCCACTATATTCGGAAAACTTTCCTCTACCTTTTAAGATGGATTAGAACTTTCCAACGTTTTTACTTTTCATGCAATATCTAATTTTTGTCGAAAATTCTGATTTTTTTATAAAAGCTCGAATTTTTCTTGAAAGCTGACAGAGATGGAGCAATTCAGTTTCCGGTTTCTTGTTTGAGGAGCGAAACGGTACAACAATCTCATAGCGACTATAGGAAATCAAAAATCATGTCGGACGGTGTAGTCAACACAGATAAACGGTATGGTTCAAACGCTGTGATACATAGAAAGCTTAATGGTAGGCAAAATTAAAAAATATGAAGTATACTATACTTCATATAGTATAAGAAATACACTGACGCTCTTAATATACATTTAAGAAATTGTATTTTTATTTAAAAGAGTAGTCCCATGTTTTTAATATAAAGAAATACAAGTATGTCAGAAATTAACATAAAATTGCTATAACTTTGAAATTTAGCACATATAATTTTTTCACCAAGTGGCACAATTTAAAGGGGTTAAACTAAAAAGAATCGCAAGTTGAAAATTAAAGACCATCCTGTTGGCCTAGCACGCTGCAACCACGACACGAGCCTAGTCTATAAGTGTGTTTCGATCCAAAATGGGAAATAACGTCGCAGTTTTGCAATATCACAAGCGTCATACATATTTAGATGGTTTCCAATAATTAAGACACAGATATATGTATATAATATTTCAAATAATTTAAAATTATAAATCAATATACGTAGTGCATAGATAAACATTATGAATATTATAAACGTAATGAAATTATAAGTATGTTATCACGAATTCGATGAATATCGATATTGTTCGTAATTTTAACATGAAGTTTTAACGAAGTCATTAATGATAATTTCTGGAAAATAGAACATATATTTTTAATATCGATATCTATCATAAGTTTATTTTAATATGATTGGGTGAAATAATGTTAAATATACTATAAAGTTTCTTGGATAATCTTTTCCGTTTGATCTGAAGATATTTATTGGCCTGCTGTGGATCTTCTACATCGATCATTTTATTCAAAGCCAACATAACGTCGACATTGTAAAAATGATTGGGATGTAGAATGTCCTTGGAATATTTCAAAAATTCGTCACACGCGGTGATTCCGCTTTTCTTTGCTTGCTCGACTTTTCTGTCAATCATTTTCAAAATCCAATCCACCTTTTCGGGACTTATCGACGATTTACACGTTGCACATACGTAAGGTTTTGGTCTCGTTTCGAGAAATGTTTCCGGTAAAACGTATCCAGCACAATCCCTATAAATAAATAAAACGACAAATAGTTAACTAACTATTTGTAAAAATTATAAATAAACATTCACAATCGTTTCCTGTTGATTACCGCGCGCTGAATACGAATTTCAAAACTGTTTTTTCCTCTTATTTTTAATTCCTGAGATGTTTAATTTTGATTTTTTTTCTACTGTAGCTTTACATAGCACTTTGTATAGGATGACTCCGTAAAGTTTCACATACGCACAACGGTATACTTTTATATAATGTTACGAAAATTCATATCCATTTAAACAATGTCAAAAGATGTACAATTTTGAATATCCTGTTCAAAACTTGCAGGAATTATATCAGGGAAATTCCACCTGCAGTCGTGATAAAGTGTAAACTCACAGCTTTAATAACAAATAATAATAGTTTATTAACTAGGATGATAAGTATGCTATACATTATCTCTCTCACTCTTTCTTTCTATTAATTAGCAGCCAACGTGTTTTCCAGAACCATACTACAGGCATCTATTCATTCGGTGATTTATAACATCCCTCTCGACTGATTCTAGCATTCAACACACACAAAACTCTATAGTATTTTACCTTTTCTTGCATTTTAGAGCGCTAAACATTACGCCAAATTCTGAGGGGTCCTTGCATCGGTCACAGGTGCATTGGAAAAGGTAATTATGGAGAGACTTCAGCCTATTTTCAGTACCCAATAATGGATTTATGTAACTGATAGAAATATGATCTCCTGAAATGCAGAATGCAATTGCAAATCAAAGCACGAAGATTTTTCAAGGAATAAAAGAATCAAAAACGGTGCAAAACAATCACATTGTTATTATAAATTTTCCAATCGATTTTCCAAGAGTAAAGTGTCACGCTAACGTCCCGCAATAACCACAACAATATACTGTAATGTACAAAGTAAGGCACATAAATATTTTCACAAGTTAGTGATAAACATAAAGACCAGGAATAAATTTATACCAGTTTCAATGGCATATGTAATATCAAAAGAAGTTCTTGAAAATCATTTTCCTTCTAAATTACACGATTACTTAATATTTTTAAATGAGACAGTCCTTAGAAAAGTGTGCCAAGGCTACTTTTATATCCAGAGACTGGGAATCAAACACGATTTATTTCGTTATTATTAGGATCATTAAATCGTAAAATACGAATGAAGAATTAAGATTTTGTATAGATTTGAAAATCATTTAGAAATATGGTTCCTCATAAAAAGTGTTAACCACTCGGAATGATATAAAATAAAGAATTGTAGCTGCATGGGAACATACAGGAAGTAGAAAATATGTATAAAACAACGCTCCTAATAATAATGTTTTTGTTCCGATACTGATGCGAGTTAATATACTGCTTGAACCACTAGGATGACTCAATTGTTTGTAGATACAGATATACCTTTCGTAATGGTATGAAATACATGTGGAAATATCGATAGCATTAACATTTCAGGAACAATGACCTTAAACAAAATTTTGTCCTCAGCATTTATTTCCATGCAACCAACAATAACGTAGATACGTTACAAATGCAAATACGTTACAATACAAATGCTTCGTCCAATATATTGAAATTACGTAAATAAATGTTAATTTACCTTTTGCTATAGGAGTCCCGGCGCGAATGATCAATTCATCCCTATTCTGGAGTTCTACCCAACAGTTTGCTTTGCAATTGTGTTCGATTAATGAAGATAATTCGTAAATTGCCATGTGTGGTGGATCTGTTAGTGTAACTAAGAATGGATTAACCTGCAATTTATTGATTTGTTCAAATTACGTTTCTACAATTTTTGATGAAGTAAAGTAAAACCTTCTATTTGTTGGAAGGTATCATTGGAAGGTATCATATCCGTCAACTGTTATTTTTGCAAATACTATTTGTAAAATTATCCGAGTTCTGTTCTTTGACTTAAGTGGGTATTCTGGTTTTGCATGTTAGCGACAGCTTGTATTTAAAAGAAATCGAGAAATAGCGTCGGCGGTTTGCGTCGCCTCTCGAGGCTGTCGACGGACAAACCCCAGATCATGTCCGACAACTGAAAGTTGTTCAGGTACTCGATGGGGCGCATCCGTTGACATATGTTTGGAAAGTTAGGAATCTTTAAATATGATAGGCGACCCGACGTCGAACCGTTATCTTGAACGACAAAGAGTTTTCATTAAGGATCTGGCCATGAAGTGTGGAAAGCAAGGGTACCTTCTGATAAGAGGACTGTGTTAAACCGCACGACACTTGCCCAGAACCGTTGTAGGGAAAGTCTTATTTCTATCCACCCAAAATTTCTGACATGTGTTTTAAAAAAATTGATTTTTTTTGCATTTTTTAAAAGCATATATGTCCCAAAACATGCGTGCATAACACTATGGTTGAATCTATAAATAGCAAAGTCACGCGTACAGGAAGTCTTAAATATGTTATAAGACCTTGGAAAGAGCGATTCCTGAGGCGATTTGAAATAATTGTTTTCTTAGTGAAAACGTTCTCCACGGCTTTGTTGACGAGTTATAAATAAAAAACAGGAACCGATCACAGACCGAGTCTACTCCACAGTCTACTCATAAACTAAGCTAAAGCGGTAGTAACATGAAATGGAAAATATTGTTGAAAATGCCGCGTTTACAACATATTTAAATTTTATCAAAATCGATTTAATACTTAATTAAATTGTTCTTATAGGTAATTCTTCTGATATTTTGATCTTAGGTGGCATCCATTCTTGTACTTGGAATTTATTAATTTCTTATGCATATCACGAATCCTATGCAATTCTTTTATGACACGTACCTTCACAATTCCAACGATTCTTGTAATTTCCTCGATGGTTATATCGTCTGATTTGAACATTATTCTGATGAAATGATAAACTAGCGAGGCCATTGCTTGTACTATGGTATTATCACTATGGCTCTCGAGCGACAATAATTTTTCATAAGTTTCCGGATGGGCATGTTTCATAGCCAATATTTTTATAAAAGGCATATATTGATAAGTCCCGTTTAAGAAGCTGAACTGGTTGACCGATATCTGCAACATTGAACAAGTGACAATAATTAAGTTACTTCTGAATATGTGTGAAATTTCATTATGAAATCAAAAGGTATGCATTTTATGTAAATAATCTGATAAACACATGATAAATTTTGTTCTATTCTACTTCTAGAAAAAGTGTTAGAGTAATTTCTTCTTAATATGTATATTCGCGCCCAGATTGCGCACAAAAATGAGCAATTTAGGAAGAGGAGATACGATTATTCGAGCCTTGCGGCTCGTTTTTATAGTTACTGGTTGCCAACAGCTATAAAAACGAGTCGCGCGAATTAGGAAGAAGTTACTGTATATACAAATTGCCGTACAGGTTTCTGTACAAGTTCTGTTAGTATACCAAATGAACCAAAATGCCAGAAAATCCATTAAAGTTTCGTTTAAAAGTTGTAACAAAAGTATCAAGTACGTATTTCTCGTTGTCTGATACAAAGTATATAAGACGGTATACTTACAAACGTACACTACTATTAATTACAAGAATTACAATTTTATGTAAGTAATTTAAACAAAACCGCGATAGAATCCGATTTAAAATAAATTCGATATTACGTCGATGTTGACGTTTGTGTAGATAATGGCCGATAGCATTTCGAAATGTAAATATAATATGTGCTTTTATGTTTTTTATTTATAACTTTCTAATGTAGCATTTCTTATCTTTTATTATACAACATTTTGATCGTATTTTTGACTATAGTTTCACAATTCCCTATGCTTCGAATTTACTAAATCTTTTGGTTATTTTTTTGACAAAAATGACTGGAAGAAGGAGTATTGGCGACTTGAACAAACACGTTTCACCATTTTAGCGTCACACCCTATGTAGGCAGATTTAAAGGATTTCGGCGCAGCATACACTGGAGGTATGCCTGTCTCTTATACACATCTCTTGAACAAACACGTTGCACCATTTTAGCGTCACACCCCTGTCTCTTATACACATCTCTTGAACAAACACGTTGCACCATTTTAGCGTCACACCCCTGTCTCTTATACACATCTCTTGAACAAACACGTTGCACCATTTTAGCGTCACACCCCTGTCTCTTATACACATCTCTTGAACAAACACGTTGCACCATTTTAGCGTCACACCCCTGTCTCTTATACACATCTCTTGAACAAACACGTTGCACCATTTTAGCGTCACACCCCTGTCTCTTATACACATCTCTTGAACAAACACGTTGCACCATTTTAGCGTCACACCCCTGTCTCTTATACACATCTCTTGAACAAACACGTTGCACCATTTTAGCGTCACACCCCTGTCTCTTATACACATCTCTTGAACAAACACGTTGCACCATTTTAGCGTCACACCCCTGTCTCTTATACACATCTCTTGAACAAACACGTTGCACCATTTTAGCGTCACACCCCTGTCTCTTATACACATCTCTTGAACAAACACGTTGCACCATTTTAGCGTCACACCCCTGTCTCTTATACACATCTCTTGAACAAACACGTTGCACCATTTTAGCGTCACACCCCTGTCTCTTATACACATCTCTTGAACAAACACGTTGCACCATTTTAGCGTCACACCCCTGTCTCTTATACACATCTCTTGAACAAACACGTTGCACCATTTTAGCGTCACACCCCTGTCTCTTATACACATCTCTTGAACAAACACGTTGCACCATTTTAGCGTCACACCCCTGTCTCTTATACACATCTCTTGAACAAACACGTTGCACCATTTTAGCGTCACACCCCTGTCTCTTATACACATCTCTTGAACAAACACGTTGCACCATTTTAGCGTCACACCCCTGTCTCTTATACACATCTCTTGAACAAACACGTTGCACCATTTTAGCGTCACACCCCTGTCTCTTATACACATCTCTTGAACAAACACGTTGCACCATTTTAGCGTCACACCCCTGTCTCTTATACACATCTCTTGAACAAACACGTTGCACCATTTTAGCGTCACACCCCTGTCTCTTATACACATCTCTTGAACAAACACGTTGCACCATTTTAGCGTCACACCCCTGTCTCTTATACACATCTCTTGAACAAACACGTTGCACCATTTTAGCGTCACACCCCTGTCTCTTATACACATCTCTTGAACAAACACGTTGCACCATTTTAGCGTCACACCCCTGTCTCTTATACACATCTAGATGTGTATAAGAGACAGGGACGGGGGTGTCTGACCAGCAGATTTCCCCCACGTTAAACAAAAAAAAAAAAAGATTTAAAGGATTAGATCTGATTGACGCCTGCGTTACTTATTCTATTGCATTGTGCTGGTACACCGGCTATCATTAGATTCAGTTTTACGAGCTCTACCGCTGTGCAAAATCTCAACAGAAAGTGAGAGTCCCTTCTAGGGTCCTCTGTTTTTTAGAAATCAAAATGCAAACGATGAAGCGTCATTGAATACGAGGAAGCCTATTCAATTAATCTATGAGTATCTAATTGTGAGATGTGGTTGAGTATTCATTTGTTGATGATTTAATCAATATTACAAAAACGAAAAAAAAAACAGTTATTTAAAAGAAATCAATGTTTAACCAAAAAATTTCTAATCGTAAACAAAAGTTTTACTGGTTCATTCAATTCCATTACAGATATCCTATTTACAATTAGCTCGAAAATACAGGGAAAGTGGAAAATCGTCGATTTCATATCCATTCACATACCGAGCAGTTCAGAGTAAAACTTTTCAACATATTTGTTCTATCAGGCTTATCGTTTCAACCACTACACGCCTGGTTGGTAGCAATGGAAATCAATATTGATAAATAGGCTACTTGAAAAATCGCTACGAACTTTCGAAACAACCCGATAACAGTGTGCCAGGATTTTAATTTCTCAATATGATAGTCACCTCTCCAATCCTGCGAGAAGAAATGAAATCACATTCCGGTCCATGCTGCTTGCAGCTCAGACAAAGAAGACATCCGCATTTTGTGCAAGGTATAATACTACCTTCATGTAGCGCCCTCAAGCATCCCAGACAGACGAGATCGGAATTATATTGGGAACCAGAAAACAGTGGTGCCTCTTTGATAAGGATTTCTCCAACCTTGATGTTCCTTGTTGCCACATAGTGACGGCCCAATATCGGATTCTCTGTTAACTTTGAAACCAAATTTTCTGGTATTTCTAACAAGTTAATAGTTGATACCTAGGATTTGGTAAAACAATGATTTCCAACGAAAAATATGTATCAAAAAATGTTACAGAGACTGTTATAAAAATAATCATTCTTATTGTGGGCTATTGTACGTCTTTATTTTAACGTCGAGTTCGCCGTCAGGCTCGCTACGTCGTCAACGACGGTCCTTTAATGATTGTTTATTCCTTTGACGGGTTGACGATTCACGATTATTTATGCCTTAGAATGGTAATATATTGTTAACATTCGAACTAAAAGTGGGATATAGATTTTTGGTTTAAGAATTGAGTAAAATTACAGGAAACGAACTCTTATACTTGGAATAGAAAATTAACAATCGAGCCTTATAATTTTGATGCTGGTTAAATCTAGGATCAGTACTCTGAAATCCAATTTTTAAAGATGTCTCACCTTGTATGGCCTGCAGATCTTAACGTGTTTGCTCCAATCCTTCTTCTGATGGTCTTTACAACAGTAATAAACACTTTTGCATGCAGAGCACGTAAGAGTCGTAACCTTACCACAAATCACACAAACGGATTTAGATTCCATTGCTCGAGTCGCTGAAAACTTGTTTTTAGAGAAAGGAAAATTAAACAAAAGTTTCATATGTTCATTGTGAAGGATCGCATGTAACAGACTTTAATGGGAAAGACGATTAGTTATGTCAGCACGTAGTAGTAAGACCCTATTACTTATTACGGCGATAGAGGTATTAATTTTGAATTGCTTATGAATTTTGAGATTACCGGTTTTAACATATTTAATACAACAATGAAACCGAATGTAACAATAAAGTATAATACATAACTAGTGTAACGGATACTAAGTCGAATTCAGTGTTTCTTTGCGAGTTTTTTACAGATTGCGGTTAGTTCGGGCACTGAACTGTAGTTCCTTGTTGTGTAAAAAAACGTAATGAGTTGCATTTTTCGATTGAATTTTATACCGTATAATCGACAAGTTTTAATCCAAGTTTTCGCTGTATTGACGATGAATAAGGCTAATTAGTAAGTTCAGTAAATTCTCCCCAATTGTCCTTCAGCTTGTAAACATGAATGAACAATTTGGCAAGAGGAGATACGATTATTCGAATCTTGCGCTTCGTTTTTATAATTGTTGACAATCGGCAACTATACAAGGTGCCCCAAAATTATTGTTCAAGCGGGAAGCGAGGGGTTCCTGAGGTCATTTGAAGTAACTTTTTCCTTAGCGAAAATTCAATCCGCGGCTTAGTTTACGAGTTATTAACACTTCCACGACCGCGCTAGAGACCTAGAAAATTTTCATAAAATTAAAACATTTTATTTTATTGAACAAAAATTACTAAGCAAACTTATATGGCGTCAATTACTTCTTCAGCATTCGTATCTCATACAAATCTTAATAAAATTAAGCAATCAGTTTTAATTTTTCATTAATCATCTCCCCATTCGGTTGGCTAAGTGTTAACGAAAAACTGTGATCATTGAAAGGCCAGATTAGCTGGTGCGAGGCGGCCGAGCCAATGAGCGGAACTGGGCTTCGACCGCTCGTTGGCTCGGCCGCTTCGTGCCGATTGATCTCGCCTTTTCGTTAATAACTCGTAAACTAAGCCGTCGATTGCATTTTCACTAAGGAAAAAGTTACTTCAAATGATCTCAGGAACCCCTCATTTCTCGTCTGTATAATAATTTTAGGTACCTTGTATATGCGAGGGTCGAATAGTCGTATCTCCTCTTCCGACATTGTCCATTTATGTGTACAAGTTGAAGGACAATTGAGGAGAATTTACTGTATGTAAAAAGGCCATACCCCACCGATTTTTATGAATTTGGACTACACTATCAGGCATACGATTCTCTCTCTCTCTCTCTCTCTCTCTCTCTCTCTCTCTCTCTCTGATTAACCTTTCTTTTGTATGTTATAATCACTCGCGAAAAACTTTTACTACCGCTGCAATGAATCCCGCCTATACCTGTATCTTCATGTACGTGACGACGGCGTCAAAATGGGAACATTACTCGTCTTCCTTCATAGGTGATCCAAAACTGAAACCGAGCTAAATTGCTAAAAGATAAATTTCTTCCTACCGATGTTTATCAAACGTTTAGTGCTTTTTATATGTCCATCGCATTAGAAAATAATGATTGTAATCGTCACGGTTTTCCGATTAAAACAACACCAACCACGATGTAATTAGGGTTACAATTAGTCGTGTGACAACCGATTAGACAAAGATTTCCGACTTCAGCGTCTCACGTATTAGTACGGCATAAAAGTTTCATCGACAAAAGGTAAGAAATAAGGATGATATTTATAAATGTAAATAATTCTATTTTTCAGATTAGCTATAAATTCAGTGAATCAAGACTTTTCTCATTTATAGTATGATTCCGTAGCACATTCGCGAACAGGAGGTTTCCAGAATAATAGTCTTGTTAATACATTTCAAGTTTTCAAAATAGAAGATGAGACACCTTTTCTATTTGTATAATTACCTTTGAAGAACGTACACCGGATTGTTGTTCGATCTACAGACAACTGATCGATTAGTGCAATGGTGTCCAATTTTATATTCCTGGAGTTATCTTTCCATATCTCATTTATCTAAACACACTCTGCGTAAACTCTTTTATTATAAACCCTTATAAACATAAGAGTATTATATTAAATAATGTTGCTGAGGCAACGTTCACATATATATATATATATATGTAAGAAATGTCGGACCTTGTCGGTAAACGATGACGACCCCATCTTCCAAGACATGGTGGGAGGTGGATAAATGTAGGAGATTATGATCTTCGACGCAAGCTTTCTGGAAAGTACCGCCTTTTGAAGTAACAATTACTTCGCAACCTTGGAATTCTCATCCCAAGTCATTCCAGTGAATCAGCAGATAGCTACCGATAATATTCAGAATATTGTCTGACACTTTAGCTAACTCGATAAACGGCGAGAAACCTGATACATCAACATTGAAGGTCATTTTGCATAGAGCGAATTCATCTAAACTGAGATGTGTTTCACTTTATACGCTCGAATCCCATCGTAAAATTTCACTTCGTAGAATTGCTAGCAAACAACAAGATGTGAGTAAAAAGAGGATGCTTAAAGCTGAGGCATCGTTCACCTACTATATATAAGTTAGCTAAAGTGTTAGCTAAAGTGTCAGACAATATTCTGAATATTATCGGTAGCTATCTGCTGATTCACTGGAATGACTTGGGATGAGAATTCCAAGGTTGCGAAGTAATTGTTACTTCAAAAGGCGGTACTTTCCAGAAAGCTTGCGTCGAAGATCATAATCTCCTACATTTATCCACCTCCCACCATGTCTTGGAAGATGGGGTCGTCATCGTTTACCGACAAGGTCCGACATTTCTTACTGCAAATAACGGAAGAGCTTACAAACTCGAGTCGAAGTTACTTAATTATATCTCAAGTTTGTAACTGTACTGTCATAGAAGCCAGATCAAAGATTCAGATCATAGACCATAGATTGCCAACCCTTTCCAGCTATGCCAAAAATGAAATACTATCTGCCAGAAAAATTTCCAAGCACATATTACCACATTTAGATGTTCAATTCTGAGTTTGTGGATACACTAATGTAGAGAGTGAAGTGCATGCGCGTTGAGAATGCGCGCGCGCGTGTGTGTGTGTGTGTGTGTCACGAGTGCTGAGCAAAGCGGGACAACGGCCCGAAAATATGTAGATATCGATTAAGAAGAAACAACTAAGTGCAGCGCCTTGTGCAAGAAAATAAAGAAGGAAGAAGGGCGAAAAGCAGTCAACGTCCAGTCTCGAAGCATTGTATGTACATTGAACTTTGCACTAGAATATATATTTCTTTTTTTTTAATTTTTTAAAAAATGATTCTTTAATCGAGATATCCGTTCAGAAGACTCGCGATAAGGAATCCCACAGTAATGTCTCCCGGAAATGCCAAATTTCGGATTGCTGTGAATATCCCTGAGCTAGTCCTACACCTATATAATTTATTGCTACGTCGATACTAAGGGTCAACGGAGTCGATCGAGTGTATTTTGTGTGCGAGTCAGATAAGAAAAACCGTGGAGCTGAAAGGTATGTGGTAGGTACGTGCATACTAGGTACGTGATCGTCGAATCTTGGCGTGTGATCTCGCAAATATCGTGATGGGATGGAAGTTTTTCTCAAGGTAATATTTTTTTTTTCGAGACTTCAAGGTCATCGGAGTTTTTTCATATGCAACTTCATATTTCCACTATCGCGGTGCGATATAACTGTTGTCAAGATGCATCCAGCCACCTATTATACCATGACATTCGCGTAACTTTGAGTACAAAAAATGAAAATAATCATAAACACTAGGTAATTGACGGAAATAGCAAAAGAAATCTGATAGAAAGACCAATGAGGACTTTATGGAGCTTCTACGACGGATCAGTTACTCCAGAACTCCAATTCACATCGTTATTTATTCCTGCCGCACTCATTCGCCCACCATATTCACTTTCGATATCTCGAAAAAGCACCATTGTGTCATTTTTATGAACAATATTTCTATTCTTTATCATACCTGATATGGACGTGTCCATTTGTTAAATGAGATCTTCGCGTGTTTTTTCCATTTTTTGTTATTTTGCAAGGAAATGTTATTTATTTGAATAAGTAAAAAGATACATTTGATACTGAATAGGAGAAGTTGATCGTTTTAATATCTGCTATTGTCTTATTAAAACAATATACATGATATCTTGTTAATGTGACTCATTTAAGCTGACGGTGATCACACCAGACATGAACTTACGTCTACAAAATTATCTTCAAACATCAGCATGAACTAATCTCAATCGATTAAATACTTGTCCTTACTGAGAAATTTCTACAATTGTACTTTATAACTGTCGATAACATGTTTCGATAAAACAGATGTGCTTCTATCGATCAAGATCCGATCTATCTAGCGCATACTTTTGCCATTTCGCGTTTGCAAAAGTATTATTTAAATGTGAAATATGTCCATTCTCTTTTTGTTCAACAAAATAACTTCCTGGTATAGATTTTCTTGTTTGTTTATTAATTTATGCAAATACGCGGGCATGCAGGACGTATCAAAATTATTCTCACATTTAAATGGAGGAGAACGATTACTCGACACGTTGTTATCAACACGCAATACATATAATATGTTAGAAACGATGTTGCTAGTGGACTAGGCAAGCATTGGTTTTCCTAAATGATATCATGAAAATTATTATAACGAAACGAAAGAAAAAATATACATATCGGGGTAGCACCAACATTACACTTTTTTGTTTGTTTTTTTTTATGTGGGGGAAATCTGCTGGCCAGACACCCCTGCCCCGCCCGGGGGGGTGCGGGACAGGGGTAGTGCGAGGTTTGACCCGCTAAAACCCCCACGGCGGCCTAGGGCGCTGGCGATTAACGGGGGAGCCACGGGAACTCTTAAGAACACTACCGCGAACATTACACTTCCTTATTTAATTAAGTTTACAAGGTGTCGTAATCCTGATTGGACATTTATAGTTATTTAAATGATTGTTATGTACAGAGTGTGAGAAAAGGTTATGTCATGGCTATCGTAGACGTATTCTACACCTCTAGAATGACGGAGATCTATTAACACGTTGGGCGCGAAGCCGATTTTACTGGGTTTTCCGTTGAGGCGGCAGGCTGGTATTATTTGTAATCCTTAATACTTCCGGTCTCATACGTCGATGCTGTCCAAACGATTGGTTCGCTGTCAGTCCGACCATACCACTCCCCCAAAAAGTACATTGTCTCTCTGTCCAAGAGAACTGAAACCGCCTAACGGAAACTCCACTGTCAGCTCCAGGGGGCTGACGTCGCGCTCAACGTGTTAAAACTTTCCGCAAAAGCGACCTTGACTATATTTTTCAAGATCAAATTTTGTTATGATTACATCCTATTCTACTCATCGAGAGGGGCAAACTTTCAAAAGGAACCGTATATCCCAAAGCAACCATTTTATTGTAAGTTGATGTTGAATAATTGCTGATTGAATTCCATTTATAGTAACTTATATAGTGTGTGGCACATAACTGCCGATAGATTTCTCAATCACTTTCGACAGTCTAACAATTAGTATGTAGTCGGCTACATACTGAAAAATAACAAATTTCAAAAACTATTGCTTTTCTACTAAAAACCATGGTCACCTTGACTGTTTCAAACGACACCCTGTATTTTTGACTTTGTGAAGTTGTTGTTGATGAAAAAAATGATTTCCACGAACTGCTATACAGGTGCTGCTATACACGATCTTTAGATGACCCCGACTTGAGCAAATTCAGCGGCATAAGTTTTTGCTTACGCGGATGCGTCCTGGCGTCCGACCATGATGCTAGCCATCTGGAGTTTTGTATAAATATACTAAGTCTAATATTTTAGCTACACACGTACATATAATTTAATTAAGTAATAACAATAGTTGAATTAAAATCATTAACATAATTCATTCACTTACAAAAAATGTTTGGGAACTCGAAAATTCAAAATCCACAACGCATGTCTATACATATATATATTTTCCGTTCGTGCAATAATTCACTTTTAAGAGTGAGACATCCTATACACTTAAAACATGATATATTAGGATGTGCTTGAATATTTTGAAACAATTTGCAAGAGACAGACATAAATTTATACACATGCAATGAAACGCTTTATTTATTTATAAAAAGACATATAAAAAATAAACTATTTACAAAAATGAATAAGGGATACCGAAAAGTACTTCAACCTCAATTTTAAAAAATCAAAAAATCAAATTTAAGAAATGGTGAAAGGGGTAACTCGAAAGGTATCGATTTTTTGAAAAATTTGTTTACACATTCTTGCAAAGATAAAAATAACATCCAACTTTTGTTTACACCTTTTTCAATATCTCAAACCGTTCTCGAGATATTCAATGAAAAAGATAATTTTGCATTCTCTTTGCGGAGCGAAATCACCACTTAAAAGTGAATTATGGTGAGAACTCTACTTGTATACGGAGTTTGATATTTTTTAGAATTTCCGTGTTCCCGAACTTTCCTTGTTAATCAATATTAACAAATGTCGATAAAATCAGAAATGTTAGTTATCTATATCTGCTCTTAAAGGCGAAGCAGACCAGCAGGTTTATGTGCCACTTTGTTATTTGCATTGTATAGACATGTGATGGTTATTAATTTACATCTGCCACAGCTATTGAGCCAGGCATTCTCACATGGAAGTGGTGGCTGGGATGTCACATACATACCACTTGTAAAAAAATGCAGATACAGTAACCTCTCCCCAAACTACAAAATGTTGCTATGCCGTGAATGTTGCTGTGCTATTGTTACGGCCCTATGATTTATTGATACGTCGATGCTTAGGTTCGACAAAGTGAGTGATGCGACGCGGCTCCTTCCCGAAAGACATCTCGTAATACAATGACACAACTTTCTTTAATTTTAACATTTTAAAACTGATTTTTTTTACATATTGCTGATAATTTTCTATTAAAATGGGACCAAACACGATATAGTTTGGACAGACATTTCTGATTACAATAAAATCCAAGACGATATAATTTCGATTACATTTACTTACTTAATACTTAATATGTAATTAATTGTATTCTATTATCGCTGTGATTATGTAAGTAAAATACATTGTTATACATATTAATAATAACTGTACATTAAAAGACTACATTATAATGTGATACATAATTATGCATATTTGAACCAATTAGATAAGTGAAGAGTTCTATTCTATATTAAATTGTTTTGTGGCGTGTCATCTTTGGAGTTATGTAGTATTATGGCGTGGCCTGCGGCGATGATTTCCCTCTATTTCGTAATAACAGATAGTGTAAAAAAAATTAATTTGTACTTATTTAATTCTCCCTGCCTAAGAAAAATATTTTTATTCCCTGCATCATGCATTGTATGAAAGCCGGTGCTTTTGCACTCTAAAATGTCAATCTCTCAAATATTACACATAATTCATTGTTCCCAATTTCGTTTTTGCTCCATTCATAAATTTCTTGCGGTTCTACTTGAAGTTCTGCCGTTTCTTCTTTTATTTCTGTCTCCGACCTCCTTTTCTGCTTTCTCACAATTTAATCAAAATTGTGTAACATTTGTTCTCCTGTGATCTCACTTATCATGCCTTGCCAATCAGGTTCAACCTCTCTTGTTTTCGACTGAATGGAACTACTAGTAGGATTTATAATTTTATTCGATGCATTTTTAATATCTCTTTGCGCAATTTTCGACCAGAATTCGGATAAAATGTTAATGCAGTCTGTTATTGTGTAGTCGGCATGAAATTCATTTATTCCACCATCATACGTTAAAACACGTTAAAAACGTTGTTTTCTCTATGATCCCTTGATCGATTGTTTGAAGAATAGATGTTGTATTGGGTGGTAAATATATGTATAATTTAATAATCTTCATCTTCTTGTAGCGTAACTTTATGGGCTTTACGATTATTTAACAATAAAATTACTTTCCCTGATATTTGTCTTTCCTCCTGATATTGTTTTACAGATGGTTTGGAATAGTTTTCAAACCAATCTAAAAATAATGGTTTGTCCATCCATGCATTTGTCTGTGATTTAAAAATTACAGGTAATGAAACTTCGTGTTTCAAAGCTCTTGGGTTTTTATATTTGTAAATTACAATAGGCATAATCTTATGTGTGCCTAACGCATTTGCATATAAGCCAATTGTAATTCTATCTTTTCTCGCCTTATGTCCGCTAAGATTTTTTCTTATTCTCCAGCCAGTGTTTTCGTCGAAAGAGCTTTCCATACAAGTCCACTTTCGTCCATATTGTAAACATTTTCCACACTTATATTTTCTTCTTCTGTTATTTCTTAAAAATTAACTTCAAAAGCATCTGCTTCATCCTGATCAACACCAGCTTTCTCCTCGTACGTCTTTCCTAAGCGCATGCCATGACTTTTTCTTAATTTTGTTAACCAGCCACGACTCACTTTAAATTGCGAACATAACGGCAAATGTTCTTTTACTTCCGTCGCCTTTTGTAATATGAGATTATCATAGTAGAGAGATTATGAGATGAGATTATCAATATACGCTCATCAAGTGTTTTTCTTTGTACGAACCATGCCAATAATTGTTTATCTACTTCATTATATATATTATCATTATTATTATATATATTCAAACTAATAATTAATTTTGGTATTCAAACCAAACTCATTAATTTTTGTAGCATTTTTACGAATATCTTGGATTGTTCTGATACCAACGCCATATTTATTTGCAATTTTTTAGAAGAACGATTATTAATAACGATATTAATTACCACAATTTATATGTCACTAATTATTAATATCATCACTTGACACTACAGATTAATAATAATGGTAATAAATTAGAATAACACAAAATAATCTGTTTCGGTGTGAGTCAGATCAGCGTATGTAATCAGTGTTGATGGTCAAATGCATGCATTTCTTTTTTGAGTCGCCTTTTTTACTGATTTGGTGGCCGAAGTACGCACCAACTAACGATGAACCGAGTCTGTAGTTTCCCCGGGAACTCGGGCAAGCGTCGCGTCGGATGGCAAAGTGCTACTCTTTATTTGATTCTTTACCTGTTTTCTATAGCCTATTGTCACATGTTTTCGTGGAATTTGGTGAATAAACTTGACTTTTACTTTGGTAATGTTTTCGTTGTTTTATGAATATTGCCATTGTTACGTCGTAAAAACGATTCGGTCAAGAGTGACGAGTCGCCTCTTGTCCGCACAGGAAAACATAGCTACGGTTCCAGCCCTTGTCCTTCGTCGCCACATCTGCAACCCATCCATCCAATTTCGAGGACCTCATATCGAAACTGTGTCGTTCTTCCTGAACATTCGACGACCCTTACTCCAAGAACTCTTAAAATTTCATGGTCGATGGAAAAAATAGCATAAACAATTCTCATACATTTTCCGTCAAACGCGTAGGCCCATTCCACCAAATCTCCGTCGAATCATGGCATAGAATTGTAGTTAAATCCTCACTGGCTCCCCAGAATTAGAATTGAATCGAAAGAGGCCCAAATAGAGTAACACCACTGATATTTTCTTTTGAACGACATATATACATACCTTCTTTGACGTTCCTTTAATATCTTTCTAATGCTTTTTTTGTTATAATAATGAAATGTAATAAGTTACTTGCTACGTGTATAGTCTAAAGCATGGCGTGTTTGGTGTCAATTTAATTGGAAAAATCTGACCAATATATTGAAAAAATATTTATGTATAAAAAAATTAGAAATAAGAAAGTTAAGAAGCCCGGTTGCCGCACACTATGACGACCCACACATAGAAGAAAAGCCATATACGTATATTAGTTTTAGAGGTTTATATCAAGTAAATCTGACGCTTTAATATCGAAATGTGCAGTTCGTAAGTGGAAAATTTAGATTCCCAAAAGACTAAACTGGGGTGCTTCGGATGTAGAAATGTCCATTTCTTTATTATAGTTCAGATATTTACAGTATTCGACGAGCGTTCTTGCTGCAACTGCCGCGCCGCTCACGACTGCCCCGCACGCCACCTTCCCCTGGTCTAGTAACCTAGCGCGCGGCAGAACGGGCTCATGAAGCAGGAATCAGTTTCATGAAACTCAGTTTGTGAAACAGTTTTGACGACATGGCAACATTGCGGCGAGGAATGAAATGTGGCAACCATGTTTAGTCGTCTTTTGATTCAAAATATTTTGGATGGAAGTGTAAAACTATGTAATTTGTCGATCTGTATTATCGACTGTAAGTAACTATAGTTACCGGCAAGCTCGCTGTGGTGCATCTTTTGCTTGGAAGAGAACTGTGACGCTAGTAGTGAAGAATGTCGGAAGCTCGAGATGGTGTTTCCGATACACAATTCACATCAAGTAATCGTGTGTCTTAATTAACTAAGTAATCTACTGAAAATACACTCCACTGCCTTTGTACATGCCTTATCTCGGGGTCTTCGGATGCGAATTTTCGATTCGAGCTCTATATCTCTCGATATTTACGAAAAACTGTTAGCGGCGGCCATCTTGTGTCGTCTTTTTCGTGAATTGTCACCATTCTGGCCGAATATTGCAAATATCTCCGCAATAACTGCAAAACGGATATTTCTACATCCGAAGAAACCCAGTTTAGTCTTTTGGGAATCTAAATTTTCCACTTACGAACTGCACATTTCGATATTAAAGCGTCAGATTTACTTGATAGAAACCTCTAAAACTAATATACGTATATGGCTTTTCTTCTATGTGTGGGTCGTCGTGTGCAGTCAGCCGCAACCTTAAGTCATCGTTTTTATTCTAGCATTACAATGTATTCATAGTAATGTACACCGGCATGCTGGCCGCTACCTTAACAGGTAGTTTCGTTCTCTCTCTCTCTCTCTCTCTCTCTCTCTCTCTCTCTCTCTCTCTCTCTCTCTCTCTCTCTCCCTCTCACGAGGTGTCGGAAACTATAAAGGGGAGCCGCGAGATTCGAGGTTCGAGAATCATGCTTTAGTATTCTCAGATCAGCGGATTTCGATTCCTACTAAAAATATTTCTGGGAGAAAATTACTGTATGTTTATAAACCCTAATATAATATAAATAATAAGCCACACACACACACAATATAATATAATACATATATAAACCCTAGAAATAAATAAAAGAATGTCTTTTACAGAACCTCTTCATCTAGCCTAACGTATACAATAACGTTTATATTCATATTTGGTCTCTGAATCAGGTAGTTTGATTATGGATACATCTGATGTAGGAGAATATTTCCTCGGTGGCCGCTGTTAGATTTATCTAGCCGATATACAAAAATTCTTCTATATTACTATGTACTTTGTATTCGGAAGAGAAGGTTACTTTTTAATATCTATACTTCAACTGTTTATATTAGGACAGACAGGATCTGTAGACGCATAATGCGATTTCGTTTTAGACTCGTCACTCTGGATCTTCTAGTCATACAATAAAAACATGACTTACTCCTTCTTTATGTCGGGTAGAGATACATTTCTGTATTTTTCAATCGCTTCCCTCTCGCGTTATTTGAGGTCCCGCACAAACAAACTTTGGCTGCTGTACGGTGTTATGTCTTATGATCGCTGGCAGTAATCGATATTGATCGAAGATGGTGACAAAGATCAACGACGGATAGTAGCGAGACCGAGTGAGAGAGAATAATGACAGTATGTATACCAACGTTCGGCTTTTCGAGCTGTTCGGCATCGGCCGTGACCAAAATCCAAGTGATCATTGCGTTGACATGCTGCGCGGTATGGCCGATCGGCAAAACCCCAGGAAACGAGGCTTTAGATGGCTAAATTTACAGCGTCGCCAGCTTCTAAAAGTACATTGTTGCCGCATTATATTCCTACGAAAACTATCGATGCTTGCGATCAGTGTTGACAGGAAATGTATGGAGTCAAAGGATATGTTTGTTTGCAATTGCATGGCACAGCGAAAGGGAAAGGACAAAGAGATTTCCCCTCGCGGGATACACCTCCTGGCAATACTGCCTGCGATGATAGTAACGTACAAGCGATTTATTCCCTGCTTGTCGGCGCTCGGCACAATCTTGGGACCAGAGCTATCAGATGACCAGTCTTCTTACGACCTTCTTTCAGGAAAGTAGTAGTGGGAGAATTACCCATATCTTCGCCCGGTACATGCATGAAAGCAAAGCGTGGCATCGGGGATTCTTAGGAGAAATTCATTTATATAAATTCATAACAGAAATTAATTAATTTAAATTTATAGTAAAAATAGGAATGTGCTATAAAATGGTAAAGGGGGTGATCTCACAAATGGGATTAGATGATGCCAATGGATTTTATTGGAATCGTCCAATCCCATTTGTAAGGTTTTCCATTCCGCCTTACTATTTCGTGTCGCATCCAGCGTTACCGTTAGTTCATCCATTTAGTGCTGAATATTATTTGGAGGCAATAAGTATATACCGTGCGACATTTAAATGATGGAAATAGTATTTATGAAACATTTACTGTAGAAATATGATATGAAGTGTAATTATTTTTATAGACAGTCGAGCTATTATTTCTAATAATTCTATAATTAGAGATGATATAACAGGAATAGTTTTATACATTTTTTCTTGCAGGGAGGTATTTACAACGTTAATAAATTTATGAACTTTGCAGTAATAGTATTCCTTTTAGTTTTTGATGAATATTAGTTCAAAATATTTTATGTTTGATTTTGATTTTTACTTTTATGTATCTTTCATTTTATAATATCATCTTTCAATAGTGTTTGCGTTAAATTTGATCAGCATTTCTCTCGCAAACGGTAAGTGTATGAAAAAAACGAAAAGAGGGAAAGGTTTTAATATTTTTTCTTCGTAACAAGATGATTGATATTGATTTTTTATATATGCAATAATTCTCGAGAAACGTGTTACAAGCCAAAGGCCAGGCAGTTTGGGTGGCCGGAGGTTGCATGCAATTGGAATTTTTGGATGAGGTGCGTAGAACAGCCGATGTTTATTTAGACACGGGTGACTACCTTTGAGGTTAGGATGAGGAGCGTAGGCCAGCCGATGTTTATTTCGACACGGGTGGCTACCTTTAAAGTTAGGATAAGGTGCTTGGAGAAAATTGATATCAGGGTGCCTCGTAACTTTGTTAGAAAAGAAATAAAGA